ACACAGAGAGGGGGGGGAGAGAGTGGGAAAAGGAGAGAGAGAGAGAGAGAGAGAGAGAGAGAGAGAGAGAGAGAAAATAAAGAGACAGACAGACAGATAGAAACAGAGAAAGAAATGAAGGACACAAAAATATTAAGAGACAACACAGACAGACAGACCTACAGTTTATAATAATATCATTAAGGGGAAACATTTTAGTTTTTATAAGAGTACAATGGCACTTGCAGCACAAAAAGGTCAGTTAATTTTAGTAGAGGTTTTACGGCGCTCGCAACTGCATAAGGTCATATGAGCGCCAGAAGATTAGAGGTGTTACAAGAGGGTAACAAAAATTAAAAAAGGAGGTTTTTGTCTTAGTAGAAGTTTTACGGCGCTCGCAACTGCATAAGGTCATATGAGCGCCAGATGATTAGATGTTTTACAAGAGGGTAACAAAAATAAAAAAGAAGGAGGGGAGAAAAGGACGATAGATGTTTGACAGGAAAGAAGAAGCAAAAACCACACCAGAGCACCCGCCAACCACCCACCAAAAAGGTCATATGTGTGCCGAAGATAGAAGGTGTTCCTAGAGAACAACACAAAAAAGGAGAGTTAAGGACGATAGATGCTTGAATTGAATGTTTGACAGCTGAAAGAAGGAGCAAACCACACCAGAGCGCCCTCCAACCACCAATGCAAACAAATTCTCTGAACCTTACTCATCGAGCACCACGCCAACAGATCAGACACAAAAATCTGCGCCCAGAGAGATGTAAAACGACTTGCACACACCGATGGTTACGCTGGACTTGCAGGCGGAAGTACTCAGACAAATTATGCGAGATGAAGTGTAAGCCTGAACGCTTGATCGCACACACAGGAGGATAAGTTGTAAAATCGGTCTAGCCAGCTTTGTAACTCGGTTTGCCTTCCATTTCCCTCAGTGCATCCGATGAAAGGAAGAAAGTCTCTCGCAGACAGTAATAATGTCTTCTCGTTAAAGAAATCGCTAGAGCATCATTCCCCTCGTATATCTACCATGTATTATAATATATTTTACTGACACACTCAAGTGCGAGTGTGTGTGTGTGTGTGTGTGTGTGTGTGTGTGTGTGTGTGTGTGTGTGTGTGTGTGTGTG